ACATGCTTTCCCCCTCTCCGTCACCAACAGCGCGGCGGAGTCTGTTACGGAGATGGACCAGAAAAGTGCTACTGGACACTCCAATCAGCCCGGACGGGCTGTTCGGACCCGTTCATGAAGACGCCGCCGGAACAGTGGGACGGCATCGCAGCATGTACAAGCCTGGCTCCAGTCGGCTGAGCTGCCACAGCGGTCCACCAACCACCGCAGCAGTCGCGGCGTCCACGCCGGCCAGCATGGACGGCCGCAGAGCGGAGAAACCCACACAAACCCCCCGGCGCGCAGGGGCTCCGTCCATCGCTCGCTCCCCCGCCACCCCAGAGGACAGGGTCTCCCGGGCGGCGAGTCAAAGGGGAGTAGAGCCCCCCGCTCCTGGTCTGCTCCGCGAGAGCTCTCCGAGGAAGCGGAGCCGGTAATTAAGCCGGACCTGCCCACTAATCTGTTATTAAGTAGGGACAGCAGGGCTCCCTGCAGAAGCCTGCTGGTTTTTAACCTAATCGGTTAATAAACCTGCAGAGCTCGGCGGCATTCCCCTGTCCGAGATACCCATCCTACATACGGTCGATAATAACCCATGAAGCGCCGGTATAACGCCTTCATGGGGACAGCACTGCACACACCTCCACTCATCCCCTGAGCTTGTACACGCCTCATGAGACAGCCGGATGAAACGCAGCGTTTGGAGGTTCCTCGCAGCCCTTTGCGCCTCCACGGCAGCGGCGGCGAGCCAATGCGTGCCGGTCACCATAGACAACATTACAGCACATCACAGAGAAGCCAGAACGGCGGAATGAGCAGTTATTCCAGGCTGAGTGCCCCAGCGGAAGCGCCCGCAGCGCCACGGCCCAGGGCTCGCTATCAGAAGCCTGCTGGTCTTTAACCTACGGTTAATAACTGCAGAGCTCGCTGAATTAAGCCGGCTGCCCACTAATCTGTTGATTACCAGCAGGGCTCATCTGGCAGAAGCTGCCCGTTTTAACCTCGGTTAAGTAACCTGCAGAGCTCGCCGGCATTCCTCTGTCCGAAATACGCCTCGTACACACGGCCTATAATATAACCCATGAGCGGCCGTTATAACGCCTCATGTGCAAGCACTGCCACACCAACCTTCCATTCCATCCCCGACGTGTACGCCCTCATGGTGAGAGTCGGAGTGAACGCATGCGTGTGGAGGCTTCCTCGGGGGGAATGAGCAGGTAGTTGCCAGGCTGAGTTTCCCCAGCGGTAGCGCCCGCAGCCCCACGGCGCCAGGGCTCGACTGCAAGAAGCCTGCTGGTTTTAACCTATCGGTTAATTAAACCTGCAGAGCTCGCTAATTAAGCCGGCTGCCACTAATCTGTTGATTAAGTACAGGCAGCGGCTCGCTGGCAGAAAAGTCCTGCCGGTTTTTAACCTCGGTTAATAACCTGCAGAGCTCGGCGCATCCTCTGTCCGAGATACGCCCTCCTAAACACGGTCAAATAAACCATGAGGCGGATGTTTAAACGCCTCGTGTGGACAGCACTGCGCACACACCTCCATTCATCCCCTGAGCGTGTACCACGCCTCATGATGAGAGCCGGAGTGAAAGGCAGCGTGTGGAGACTCCCTGGCAGTGGCTCGTTGCCTATGACGACCACAGAACATCTCGAGCATGTGCCGCCCGCTCTTAGATGTTTCTCAGAGTGGCAGCGCGTGTGTCTTTGATGGACAAAGATGATGAGCAGGCTGATCAGGCAGTAGGATACGTCCTGCAGTTCCGCCTCTCCCCCACCCCCACAGTTCAAGTGGGATACACGAAACACTCCTGTCCTCCAGAAGCTTCATTCTTGCCTCCAATCGAGCTGCTGGAACTCCTTTGAAAGAGGATATCCAGGGTTCCTCAAAGCGGAGGAAAACAAGGGTTTTCACTCCCGTTATTTTTCTAATCCCGAAAAAGACTGGGGGAATGAGACACCTGGATCTGGGTCAGTATTCCACATGCTGGACTGTATCCAAAAGGTGGCTGGAATGTTTTCACTGCAGGTACGACTGGTTCACTTCCACCACAGAGACAGGAGCGTGCCGACGACCATCATCCCAAACCAGGAAATTCGCTGCGTTTTCCAGTTCAGGGAATACATGACCAGACCAATCGTCTGCCGTGTCGGATATTTTCCTGGGTCCTCGCATTTGTGTAGAGAAAGCTGAGCACTACACAGAGGAGGGATGAGATGTGGTTTTCTCTGATCGACCTGCTATTTGCCTGGCTCGCCCAGGGAGGAAGTCGCTTTACAGACGGTTAATCTCGTATCGCATCTGTCAACGCCTGGTTTCATAATAAATTGGAAGAATGAGCTGTCCTCTTCCTCAAGACAATCGTTTATCTGGGAGGGAGTTAACTCAGCCAGCATGAGGAGCGCGACTCTCGCGGCAGCGAGGGAAGAACTGACAGCTCTCCTCCCGGCGGTGTCCGACAACCCACACAGCCCTCTCCGTGACTGCAGCTGCTCCGGCGTTGGCGTCAGCTGGTCTCACGTGATGATCCCCCGAGTTCTTCCAACCAGGGGGCAACTCCCAGAGGTCTTGGTCATTCGCTGCAGAAGCCTGTGTTTTAACCTATTGGTTTATAAATGTGCAGAACTCGCCGCATTCCTCTGTCCAGATATGCCTCCGTATCACACGGTCATAATAACCACGAGCATCCGTTGTTATAACGCCTCGTGTGGATCAGCATGCCACACACCTCTCATCCCCTGGGTCGTGGTGACGGGCCTCATGAGGGAGAGACGGAGTGAAAGCAGCGTGTGGAAACTCCCTCGCAGCCCTTTTGCTCTCACGGGCAGTGGCGGCGGATGTGCGTGGTCGTCACGCATGAAGACCTTACGGCACTTCACAGAGAAGCCTCTCCCCCCAGCATGTCCATGGGATACAAGAAACACTCCTGTCATCCAGGAACAGTGTCTTGCGCGGTTTTACCTCCGTATTTTTCTCAAAATCTCTGTTCGGTGCGCGGCGCTGTCCTGCTATGTGGGCTGCGCACGGTCCTGGCGCCGTTCCAACGCCTGTTCGGCACTATAGAGAGAGCTCAATCGGTCGCAACCTCCGTCTCCACAACGGTCTGTCCGACCACTGGCTGGTGTGAAGGGCTGTTTGTACAGGCATATGTGCTCCTCTGGGTGGAGCCCCCGGACGAAACATCAAGGCGCACCCACCAGAGGAATTCCCTCCTCCACGGCTTTTGCACGGAGGAATGTCAGTGGAAGATTTTGCACGGCTGCATCTTGGTCGTTTCCCCCTGTTCATTTATCATTTTTATTTGAGGACTGTCTCCCATTCCTCTCTGACACACCCTGTACTGGGTCTGTCCTGTCGGGGTGAGTGACGTCAGGGAGCCAGCTGTGCGCCTCTCTCCTGCCTTTTGGCACGCGGAGAGCGGCCCATTTCCCTCTTATAGGAGGGAATGTTCCTTTTTCCTCTAACACACTTTGTACGGACGTGTCCTGGTCAGAGGCTGAGTGACGTCAGGGATCCAGCTGTGCGCTCTCCTGCCTGTCTGCACGCAGAGAGCTGCTGTCCCCCACTACGATCGCAGGCGAGGTGGGACTTTCGTCTCTACTTTCTCACAGCGGGCCGGCTTATGTATGTGTTCCCAGTCTTCACCCCGTCGGGAAGATAGGGGGGGCATTTTTTTTGTTTTGCTATGTTCCAGGTACGGTGATGAGCCATTACGCATGGACACAGTCAGGCAGGGGTGTTATTGAGCAGGTATGTCTGTGCTCTAGTGTCCGGGCGGACCCAGTGGGCGCAGACTACATCATGCTCGCCCTTAACCAATGAGCGATAGCCTTAGAGGGCGAAGCCATATAAGAAATAGAACTGAGGTGTAACCTACTGTAACCCCAGCTTCTATGAGTAAATGCGCAGCCTCTAAGTGCCGGGCCCCACTGGCTCTACGAATAGCTGAAGAAAAAGTATGTTGTAGAGGGAGCAGATTGCCGGGCCACCTTCCTATTTATACCGGAAGGAGGCCCGAGGGTGGGGCCCACCTTGCGGGTGGGCGTGGACTACAAGTGTTTCAGTGCTGCGCGGGGGCGCAGGGGGATTACCCAATAGCGATAGCCTTAGAGGGCTGCGCCATTTACTCATAGAAGCTGGGGTTACAGTAGGTAACCTCAGTTCTCTGTGTACTTCAGAGGGAGTTTCTCTCCCACACTCCCCCCCTTCTGCCTGAAACACTTCCATTGGACTCTTTTGTTTACTTCTGTATAAAAGTGACAACACTATGTAACAGTTCACTTCTTTTGACTGGTGCTACAACAAATTGTACGGCTAAGGGGCGGGACATCTCTAAGCGGCTGATCAATCACACAGAGCCAGCCAGCTAACCAATCAGAGAAGACTTGGCTCTGGTTTCAGACAGAGGATGAAAATAGGTGCTGCAGCACAGGCAGTATGAGAATAAGTCCTTTTTGAACATTAAAGCATGGAGACATGTCACAGTAGAGGCATCAAATACAAATATGAATCTAACAATTAGCATAATAGGGCACATTTAAGGTTTCATTTGTTTGACTAATGATTTTACTGTTCTAACATAAACCAAAGCCACATTTATATTTTCACACATCTTCCTAGTGCACCATTTTAAAACACTTCATATGTGTCATCTTGTTCCCATAATTTCCTCTGAATTGTCACTGAAAAAACAAACTGCTCTGTCATTTGGATTTCTGCCGCAGTTGGCCCTGTCCCAGCCCCAGCCCCGGGGACTTGTGGGTAATAAGCCTTGTCTTTGATGATGCTGAGGCTGGTGTGTGTGTGTACATGTGTGTGAGGTTACTGTCCTCCACTCACATAGATAGTAGTGAGGTGATTAGATCTAATGACTACACACTAGGTGAGCCTCACCGGACTCATTTTCCAAGAAACCTCAAGGGCGAACTTGTTCATTCAAAGTAGACCCTTTGTCCCTGTGAGTCTTTTATTCAAGACTGTTTTTAAGTGTTCTTTTATTTATTTATTTTTCTTCCCTCCTGTAGGACCGGGGAGTTCACCTTGCGTGTCGCGGACCCTGAACTGTTCTCTCAGCCCGAAATAATCCAAGTTCAAGCCGTGTCAATGCAGGTACTGAACCAAAACACTTCTTTCAGCTCTCCTTTTATTTCATCTGTCACTTCCCAACACACGTTTTCCAAGAATGACTCAAGACATTGAAATGCCATGTTTTCATCCATAGACATATTTATTGCATCGTATGTAGGCACCCAGCTGAAATGAGAGACAAAAATAGATATCTAAACCTGAATTCAGTAACATTGTAGGTAATGGAGAAGATAGTATAGACTTTAAGGACATGTTCCTTCTCTTTTGTCAAGGCAATATCTGATGGATTCTTTTAACTCGGGGCAGAAAAGTGTTAAACAACGACTAGTTCACTTTATCAAAACAGAATTAAAATGATTACCAAAGGTGAGAGTAGGAACGATAGACCGACAGATTGAGAGCCTGTCTTCTGGCTCAGCTCTATATTAGTCACAATTGTGAGTTAAAGTGACTACAATACCGCTCCCCCTGCTCCAGTTCTCCGGTCTTGTAAATTACTATTATTGTTAGATCAGATGTCTCCTCAATTCTAAGCCAAGCACATGAGCGCGCCTCCACGAGGGTAGATTTCTTGCGTTCATGACGTAGCGCTTCATGTACGCATTTTGCGCAGTCCGGAGCTGACAGGTCCATGGAGCCTGCCTGCAGGCGCTAATCTCAGGACACCTCCACTCTCAGTACATTGCCACTTTCCAAACAGGAAATGCACGCAAATACAAGCCTTTATATTATTAAGGTACAGCGCCACTTTCCGAGCCATTGATGAATGCTTGTGTGTACACAAAAACGGCAGGCAAACCCGTTTTAAATGTGTGTTTCCTGTATGGCGAAATTACAAGTACGAATCGGGTGACCGTCAGGGGAGTCTCAAAAAACCCACACACGAATGCACAGCGATCCGTGCACAGAAAGCGGTTTGTGTTTGCAGGTTCAGAGGATTTAAACGGAAAACAAATATGTGTGGATCAAAAATACACATTTAAAACTTTTTTCTGTGTTTGGATTTTATTTACATGTCTATGAAACGGAACACATTTGTGTGTGCATTGAAAAACACAAGTGTGGATCCGGAAATACAAGTGTGAATCCTTTTGCGGATCATGAAATACAAGTGTGAATCCTTCTGTGTGCATGTGTGTATTATGAGACTGTTCTGAGCCCATATTACTATGGCATTTGTCACTTTATTGACATGCAGGTAAGCCAGTCTGAGTTGTATTGTGCCATACGGGTTCATGCAGTTATGAGGGGGCCTCACCTCCTCATCTGAAGCGCAAATGCGGTGCACTATTTTGCGCTTATGCAGCTTATGTGTAAACGCGCCACAGTTTATCCGCCGTTTGGTCCACTAGCACCCCCTCGTGAAACAGATTGGGCTTGGTCATTTTAAAAGTAGCTCCCAAGCTGAAAAAGTGTGGGCACCCCTGTATTACAGTATGTAGCTAAAAACACAATCAACCACATGAATCTGGGCTGAATATTGTATTTTATTTTATTGAGAATAACAAAATATCCGATCTTTTATCTTTTATAACACTGTGAGATTAGAACATCCAACATGGCTGCCATGTTACCCAAAAACCATACAATAGCCTGTATACAGGAATAATATATCTTGATATGCTTTTAAAAACATAAAGTAGAGAGACATATGGTATTCAAAACAATAGAAAATAACAGAAATGTGGGATAAAATCGCTCCACAGTCACTGTGGATGAGCAGAGGGAGCAGCAGTTAATCTGGTAAATATGACAGCTCATCTTTTTAGAGAGAAGCCGTTTCTCATTTTGCTGCATCATCCCAACTGCATTCCTCACTGTTCCGAGGCTCTGTCCCAATGGACCGACGCCAGCATTGTGATTGGTCAATGTCAGTCCAGCGTGACGTGATTGGTGTCGAGATGACCTCTGTATGGCCCAAATATGGAAACAAATGAGGAACGAAGAGAGATTAAAAGCTCTTGCTCTCTCTCAGATTTGTCAAGGGGTTAGTGGAACATCTGTGTTACTCTACAACGTGTGTGTATGTGTGCAGTAGAGACTACATAGAGAAATTATTTGACAGACGGTTGACAAAAAAAAAGTCGAACTGCTAAAGTGCGTGACAAATTGAAGTGATGATGTAAGTGGAAAATGTTTAATTTACTATGAGAAACAAAATCATGTAACTCTGTCATTAGGCACAGCAAATTGTCAAATTGTCAAAATGTAGTTTAGTGCATTATTATAATATTACAAAAGAAATACAAATAAAACATGCGGAAAAAATCAAGTTTGTGCAGATGAGGAAATGTTTCTTGACTCTGTAGGTTCCTAATCCTTTTCCAGTTTTCAGCCGCCATTGCAAACATTTATATTTGATCATGTTTCTGTCGTGACAAATCTCTCTTTATGGCAGTACGTGAGTGTTTTCTTAAATTCAGTGCGCCTTGAGTAAATTGGTGTTGCAGCCGCAGAGCTCACGGTGCTGCCTGCAGACGGTGATGGAGTGGAGCTTCAGTGTTTGTGTGTATTGGGGGGGGGTGGGGGGGGGGGAGTCTGCTCCAATTAAACCAGCGCTTCATTAGTTTGACTCTCTCAGACAATATTAGCAGAAGCAGCTGAAAAGGAAAGAGACGTAATTTATGCACATAACTCATCGTCGGTGACTGTATTTTGACTGATAGTTGTGCGTCCTCCCTTGTCTTGCTTTTTTAAGTTTAATTACAATAGAATTCTGTCATTTGTTTTCAACACTAGCCTTTTTGTACACCACACTTATCATTATGGTGTCCTAGTGCATACATTAATTCCAATATGTGTTCATAATTGACATTCAAGCTAGTGAGGTGAAATAAGATGTATTAAGAAGTCAGAACGTTTTTGTGACCGTATTTATCGAGCATATTCACAAAATAAATAAGGGAACCTACATAGAAACTGTTACGAACTCAGACACTTAGAATGTGGACCAAATTGCACGACCCGGGAGACAGAGGTAAAGTATTTGTAAGATACTTTATTTTCCAAATACAGCATTGACAAACAAAAAAGGTAACTATCAAATCTCAAGCCGAGATGACAAAAATAGAGAGCAAAAAATGAAAGCGCTCACGTAGTGAGGAATCAAACTTTTCAAAAGCACAAGGAGCATAGACCTGACCATAGCAAGAGACAATACGAACTGACGAGGAACACTGGGAGACAGGTGAATTTAAACACATGATAATGAGAAACAGGTGGGAACAATCAGGGGCGGGACTGACGCTGATGAGCACAGGAGACACAGAAAGGATGCCAGGTGAAAACAATCAGGAAGCCTGGAATGAGAGATAAATGGTGAGTGAGAAAACAAACATAAAACAACATGAACCAGAGCCTCTCTAATATTTCTGTCGGTGCACAACAGAAACAGTCATAATACACATTTAGGAGGATTGAATACTCTATAAAACAGTCATGGAATAACAGTAAAATAGAACGAATTACGCAAAGCTTAAACAGGTGTGTTGAGCTGCTTTTAAAAGCATCCACACATTATTAAAGGGGTCCAAAAAAGTATTTTTTGGGGGGTTTTCCCTTCCATGTATTGTCCAGGTTTTTGTACATGTTAACGGTCTGCAAAGTTTAAAATCCCCAAAATCTGTCACCACCACCCCCTTCCTTTGCATAGTGACATCACTTTGTTACACTCGGACTTCTATTGGCTGGCGCTTCAACACATTCTACGTGATAGGCTAAGTGACGGGACATCTTTAGGCGGTTGAACAATCACAACAGAGCCAGCCAATCAGAGCAGACTGGGCTCTCATTTCACGGGTTAAAGAGGGACAAACCAACAGTTTTTGAACATTAAAAGGTGCTACCATATCACAATAGATGCAAACATTACAAATATGAACATGAAAATTAATATAATATGTTTTTTTCAAGATTTTCCAAGACTGTCCTCAACATCAGAATTTGTTATCTGTTTAGAAGCTTATATACATTTTTGAGTTTTTCCAGGCAAATAATGACTTTTCCCTCAGGAGAAAAGGCAGAAGTTGCATTACGTTGTAATAGCGTTCCACAACTAATGAGTAAAGGCTTTGTTGTGGGTGTCTTTGAACACTTCCCCACTCCCCCCACAATGTTTCCTTAACTAGTAGTTTTAGTTGGTCAAACCTAATGAAACCTTAATTATACAGATAAAAGTCCTGTATTATTCATTTTTGAATCAGCAACTTATGTCGTCCTTTAGTTACAGTATGAGGAGTTGTTGTTTCGTACGTCTTCATCTCCATTGTCTTCGAGTTTATTCACACATTTCTGACTAAAAACATTAAGTCATCATGTTGTTTTTCAGTCTTTGAACTACTTAACTCCAAGGAAATGCAGTCGGAGACATTTTGCGATGAGAAATACGCAACCACAGAGTCTCATGTGATTGCTCCTTTCAGTCGACTTCAAAGAGCATCACAAACACTGATGTAACTTCCAGTGTTGTTGTCTTTGACAGCAGTGTTTAAACGTATTCTCATAAATTCCCCTTGCCATTGCTTTGAAAAAATCAAGACCCTTTCAGTGTTTCTACAGAAAGTCTGACACAGAAAATGACACTGTTTGTGGACTTTCTTTAAAGAAACCATTCAAACATTCTTCTCATTATCAAAAGCACAACGACAGGGAGTCATACTAATGATACACTCAGGTAGGTTATTGAAATGAATGCACAGCTATTGTATGTTCTCCCAAATGCAAAAGCCACTGTGAAGCAGGTGACTGTAAAGCAATATGGCATGGAGTAAAAAGACCGTTTATGCTTATGCAGCCCTCCCTGAATAAATAAGGTTGAAAGAAATTGTTGATTGAAATCTTTATCAGATCCCAAGGCCACATAAGAATGTATTAGCCTCGGGAATGAAAGATCTTCACTGCAGATAGCCTTTCGTCCTTCTGATAAAAGCTTCTTTTAAAAAAAAGGTTTTCAAGAATTCAGTATCTACTAAGGACATTTCTTCAGCGGGTGGTCTCACTCACACAAAGCACACAACCTTTTT